TATATATATATATTTTGTTACTCCATTTATAGATCACATGGCTGATCTGAACTGCAAACTATCGACTCTAGAACTACTGATAGCTCATCCTCAACTTGTGGCACTTATCAATTATTCAAGTGTTCATTTCATACAGGATTCAACATCATCAGACCATTATCAGCCAACTGGCTTTACAAACACAGTGGCATTTAATTAACGGCTCAAGCGAACTGTTTGATCATTACCGTATAGATTTGCTGCCCTTTACAGCAGAGACTTAATCGTTGAATACTATTTAAGTAGCTAATTACTTAATTGTTCAACAATATACTTATTACTCATTACTGTAAAGAGTAGATTTTAACGGCTTACTCGCTTCGTCACACTTCTTTTTATATTTTTTAATTATAAGCGAAAAAAATTTACTCACAGTTTAAGGTTTCTTCAATATGAATCAATCGAACTCACTCAACCGCTTACTTTCAGCAAAAAGTCGTTATTACTAATTTACAACCCGCCAACCCTGAGAATGATAAAACCAATCACCATCTTGTCTAAATACAACACAGAGGATAAATGAATATTTTTTTGGTACTTTGTTCTTAAGCAGTTTTCGAATCTACTCAAGTATTCCTGGGCTTCTCAAACAGGTCTACGTTAAATCACGCATGTACTTTTGTTATTCAAAACTTTTCCAAGTGCTTATCGCAAATTGTATTCAGACCTATGAGGGATTCACAAGGCTTATTAGCATTGAAATTAACTTTGAAAGAGGGATTTTATTTGCATTTGTCACCGTATTTCATAGAAGTGCACAGGGATATTTTTGTTGCGATTCTGAAGTTATTGGAGACACTTCATTTGCGTTTTATTATTGAGCTCTCCAAATAACCATAACTTTCCTCATATAGTACTTAGTTTTAACTATTTTTGTCAGTTTGCAAATTATATTTAATCATTTAAATTTACTATAACTACTCTTTGTGTAATTTTATGTTTTAGTCAACGGATTTGTAGTTTTTAGTGGCATATATATCATGGGAATTACATTTGCAACCATTAAGTTTATTTTACTTCGAAATCTTTTTAAGTAATTTTGTTCTCTTCAATTTGAATAATAATATCATTGTTATATTCTCACATGTGAATGAGGTTTGGCGAATTACTAATACTCTGAATTAAATTATCACTAACTTAACTAATTATTTTCAAACAGTACTATTTTGTGATTATTTGCTATACTGCTGTTATTTCAGTTTGAATCTTATGGACATTGAATAAATAGAAGAAAGAAACAATTGGGAGCATCACTGAATATTAGATCTTGCTGGTAATATTGGGTTACTGTTTTATCACAAATGATTGTTCGTTAAGTCAGCTGTAAGTATTATTTGCTGGAATGTTTGAAAGTGGGGACTTTCGTGAAAAAAGGTATATACTTGCTGTAGATGTTGGAACAACGACAATTAAGATATGTTTATACGATTCGCAGTGTCGACTGGTTAGCTACAGGACTGAATCGGTAATATCATTATATTATCGTATGATAGGGATCATAATGGGAGCATCATTCCCGTGTGAGAATCTGAAAGCTAATTAAATTTCAATTTAATGTATGTAAATTTTATTCGTTAATAATTAGATCTGTTAGAGAATGTTTTATAAATGCTATATTTTCACTTTTATATTATTGTCTTATGACATAGTAGGACTAAAAGTTGTGGAATTACATCGCTTACTCATCTATTTTTTATTTTTTCAATATCTGCAAAAATATACGGCTTAAAAATGACTTTTGTCTCTAGAATAATCTTATTTCTTTCTAAATGAAAAGTAATTTTATTTTCAGATAGATGTTCAAATTAAAGGTGACTGTGAAAGTGGCATTCGTGTAGAGATAGATCCTGATGTTTTGTGGAATCAATTAGTTACGATGATTTCTAAACTATATAAGAATCTATATATTGTTTGTAGTTAAATATAAAACATTCTGGTAAAGAAAGTCATATAAATTTTTACAGTAACTGCATTCTGCAACGAAATATTAATCCATTTAATTATCTTAGTTTTTCAGTTTCTGATTACAAGGTTAATTGAACTGTCCTCAATACTAGCTCATTAATTCTTTTTTTACAATGTTTTTTTCTCCGTAACATAAATTCAAGTACTTTTAAACGGAATTTTTGAAAATTGATGTCAAACAAAATTTTTAGGATCTTATTATGAATCTAACAAAGTTTCGATTAAGCAAGTAATAAGAGTCTTCAGTTACAGTGTGTGAAACAGGACGAGAGGCTCGGGAAATAGCTGGAATGGGAATTAGCTGTCAGAGAAACACATTTATATCTTGGGATAAGTAAGACATAAACTCTGGTAATTTTAATTTTCTGATTTTTTTTTTTTTTTTT